CCTCAGCCATTCATGAATAGCCAGAGCTTCGCTGAAAAATAAAAAAGAGCGAGCTGCTCGTGACGAGAGAAATCCGATGATTTGAGGGCCCTGGTCATCGCTGACGAGAGAAAGCCAATTATTTTTTATGTCCTGGTCAATGCTGAGATCCTAGGTCACTGGTTGACCTCCCAGATCAGGTTAATAACCCAAAAGCACGGAAAATTGGGTCCTGCTAGAATTTCTACAAGTGAAGTTTGCTGGGACTTGGCTTGCTTCTGACTTCGAATTTGCACTTGCTTTGATTAAAGATGATGTATCAAAGCATTTGGGGTAGGACGGGTCACGCCAGATCACCCATTAGGCGTTCTGCCGGCTATCCATTGAATGTTAACCAGCACTTACAGCCTTGCAACATATTGCATAGGCACTATAACTGATACCTAAGTATGCCTAGTTTTCAAATGCTAAAATGAGTGCTAAATTTCAAACCAACACTTCCTAAAAACCACAGTAAAAAGGTGTAAATTTAAGGAAGTTAACCGAGATCATTTCAAGTAAATGACCTTAACCTGAGTTTCACGTGACCTTGGCACCCACAACAATCAATGAGACAAACATTAGATAGTATATTTCACATGTTGTCACGTTGCTTATCACGAAACGACTATGGAAACACACAGATGTGCGCTGACTTTCAATTGCTATTCTGGCCTGACATGATCTTGAGAAAAATAATCACAGGTGAAAGGTAATTTGGTTCAGGGATATAAAATTCTCAGACAAGATGCAAAAATTATCAGGGCTATTTAATTTTCCGGGAAGTTGTAAACTTGATTAACTCCAGGGCACCAAAGAATCGTCGCAATCCTTCGCTTTGCCGCGATTTATTGGTGAAAAACAGGGGGCGCGGTCTACCTACCTCTACTTATATGTGTGGTGAGGGCTAATATTCATTTTATCTGTGTTATTAATATGCAACAATTACTACATGAACTGAGACCAGTCCATATGGGTATGTTTTTCTCACGGACAATGACAATATAAAAACAATGCGAATAAAACCAAACGTTTCGGACAACAACGTGCCTTCGTCAGTGGAGAAAAATAAGTGTATAGGTTTAACATCGATGAGAACTATATGCGGCACCGTCTCGTTCTGGCCAGCCGGGTTGCCGATAAAATACACAAATGTTTATAAGCTTCCATGATGTGCTTAAAAAACTGCTGAAAATATATCTTTAAAAACAAAACAAAAATAACTACTTCATCGATTTTATCGAAAGAAAACATATATGCCTAATTACTTATTTCTTGCCACTGACGGAGGCACTTTTTTGTGCGAAACGTCTGTTTTATTCGTATTATTATTGTATTGTCATTCCCTGTGAGAAAAAAGGATAACTCATCAGTTAGTAACCATAACAGCGAAACGGCTTAATGTAACACAATTCACATGTGTATACGAAACCTCTAAGTCCCTAAAAATAATCCTATTTACAAATTTTAAAAAGACAGCTTAGGCACATAATTTTTTCTGCATTAAAGGAAATAGTTCACATTTTAACATGGGTTTTGAACTGGAATAGCAGTTCCGTAGCTTGGGCTGAGACGAGCATAAATCAGGAGCTTTTACAGCCCAACGATCACCCTAGGCAAAGATATTCTATTTCTCGTCCCGAAAAATGTGTCTTGCGTTGAGGATGTGTGCCTTGCATATATTCGCATCCAGTATGAAACGAGCATGGGTCCCGAAAATTCTTCAGAAACTAGAGAAATTATCTACGAGAACTCTAGAGAAATTCGCTCCAGTGAGGCGCTCCAGTAACAAAAGCACGAGCAGATCGCCCAAATGCCGGTGGCCGCGATAATTTCTCTAGTTTCTGAAGAATTTTCGGGACCCATGCTCTTTTCATACTGGATCGCGTGTGCCTTACAGAAACTGAAAAGTTCTTCCTATATTAAAAATATAGGAAATAATCTTTTGTTGTAAAAAGGTTTTAGTTTCTTTGCTGATCATTTTGAACATAAAAATCACAAATCCATTGCAAAAAAAAAATAATTTCGTGAAAGTGAACTATTTCCTTTAAGATAATATTCATTTATCTCCACAGAATATGGTAAATTAGTGCTGCTGAAGTTCGCTTTCGAAGCGTCTCCTCCAGGAATTCCACAGCTCTCGTGCCATTTTGGATCACGGAACATGGCTGGGCGCAGGACAGGCCGTCTGCGAGCTTGGACGGACCACGTGACCACCTCCTCCCCTCCCCCTCACTCCCGTCCCCTTCCCCAGCAGGGCGTCCGATCTAACCGCGCCCCAGGCAGTCGGCTCGGTCCGACCCTCCCCTGGTCGAGCCACGGCCCGGTGCCGCCTGAGTTTGTGCCGGGTGCAAAACTGGAGCAGTAACTAGCGCCGGAACTAGTAGTCAGCACGACCATCGTCAGATGGCAGGAGTAAACGGAATAAGCGGTTCCAGGTTTCAGAAGGAATGGGGCAGGAAAAAGCGCTGAAAACAATGTTTTGCTGATATAGCCATAAAAAGTTCACTGAATTAGGAGAGCAGCATATCAGTTTAAAGCCCTTCAGATGGTGGTTTTAATAAGCACACAATCATTTCCCAATTCGCCTCCAACGGTGTCACAGGCAAAGAATACGCTGAAATACTAGTGTGTACAGAAGCAACTGCGGGTCCCTGTACCTATATGTCATTTCGTCGTTTTGAATTTCTTTCGCCCTGTTATTTATGCGATGACATTGAAACATTGTGGAGTAATTTTGTTTGCAAACATTGGGCAAGGTTGACTTTGAGCACCGTCGAAGTCAGTTCTACGATTGTCTGCGCAGAATCACCTTTCTGAACCGAAAAGCCTGTACGACGTGCGTGTCTAAAATATATAGAAACAAATTAATTCATCAATCAATTAATAACATAAGAAATAACAAAAATATTTTCATATTGCAATGCCGGAAAAAATGCAGTATCGGCTGCGTTATTGCCGGTCGTCAGAGGACGCCCCGTTCCGTAATTGGCGGCTGCTCCTGAGATGTGTTTACGGAGCGCCGCCGGCGGCGCTCAGCCGCTACACCGCCTCAGGGCACGTGGTCGAGGGTGGCGCGCGGGTCGGTTGCACTGCCATAGGAGACGCACCGGGGACCGGCGGAGGACGGCCTATTGTCCCAATCAGCGGTGAGTTCCGGCGGGGGGGGGGGGGTAAAGGTCAATGCTAGCGCAGCCCGCGGGTCTAGTTTGGTGACTGGCTTGATGGCTGGAGGATGACGTGCTGACGGCAGTGGACGATTCGCGAGGATAGAAAAGTGTGGTGCGAAGGTGGTTTTGATCCAACGTCGTTTGGGGTCGAAGTGGTCTGTGGACGTCAGTGTAGCTTTCGGCAGTATTCACTGGCGGTAAACTCTAGCTTCTGGTGGATCGTGACCCGTCGGTGACCCGAACTGACCCGTCGGTGACCCGAACTGACCCTTCGGCCACCTCACCGTCGCGATGCACTCCATCTCGATGGCTGACCTGTACCCGGGCTACCGCCGCCATCGGCGCAGCCTGCCCACCATCCCCGCGGCGCAGCTCGCGGTGGTTCGGGCGCGCTACGAAATCACGCAGAGTGAACAGGTTAGCGTGAGGCCGGTGGTCGAGAGGTGTTACTACCGGTATTATCACCATCGACGGACAGAGGCAGGTGGTTGGCGGAGCTCTGGCCAGGGTTTGGAAGGTGCAGGCCAGGCCAGAGCTTGGAAGAGGTCCCGGCTCGCCTTCTGTAGGATTTCCCGGTGTTTTTATATGCTGTGGAAGGTTTGGCGGGTGTTTGATTTATTACTGTCGTAAAAGATATTGATGCTCGTGTGACGTTACACGAAACCGCCTAATTTGTGAAAGGCGATGCTCTTCCTTCAGTTTCGAAAGCAATCTATCGCCATCTACATTACACCTGCCAAACTGTTGGGTAGAGTCAATTTGGGAGATGCGTCGTATCCTGTTGCAGCCTGGGAGGGTGTCAGTAGATGTCTCCTGTCACGACGTCTGCCATCCTGCAGGTCTCGGCTCCCATGAGTCTCGCCCTGCTCTCGACCATGTGTTTACCCCTGCTGACCTATCATTCTGGAGAGCTCGAGGATATCACCATGGACGGACAGAGACAGGTGGTCGCGGCGACTCCGACTGCCTGACCCCGCCCCCGCCCCCTCGGCCAGCACAGGCCAGCAGTTTGTTTATCCTGAGCTCTGTGCACCGTGCATGGTACTCGTGGCAGGCACGGGCCGAGTGGAGTGCCGGTTTTTCTGGTGCCAACCAGATAGGCAAGACTGCAACATGGACAGTGGACACCATACTTCATCTAACGTTCAGTGACTAGCCATGTAGTCGCATTATTTGATGCTTGGAAAACTAACAGATAGTTGAGCTCATGCTGCCGGTTTATGCCACGCTGAGTTAGCTACCTGTTAATTTATGTAATTATTACACCGGCGCCGGCGCCTCCAAGACAACTTTGAATGAATGAATCGTACAGTGGAGTTCCATGAGCGGCTCGGGGCGCCGGTGGACGAGTGTGATACGCTGGTTATCGGGCTCATTAGCAGTAACTCACAGCTGTGACAGATGCGATGGTATAACGTCAGTGATCCCCGCGCAGCTCAGCCGTGGGTCCGCTCTAAGCCTGCCTAGTGGGGATGCTGACAACACCCCCACTGATACAAATGATGACTTCCGAGGGCGAGGTTGTCCAAGCCCGTGCCGAAAAGCCCTTTTTAAACCCGTGCTATGTAAGGTGGTTGTTATGAGAGATGTCGGAGTTGTTCTGGTTGCTTTTCTGTATGATGTGCTTAACGCTGTACAGTGTACACTGTACTTGTTTTCCCTGAAGCTAATGTCTTGATCACCTTCAGGTGTCACTGAGCTAACTGTTCGCCCCGTCCCAGGTGTCTGAACTGTCCGCCTCCTGTCCCCAGGTATCTGAGCTGCCCGCCCCCTGTTCCCAGGTATCTGAGCTGTCCGCCCCCCCATCCCCAGGTATCTGAACTGTTCGCCACGATCCGGGAACACAGTCGTCGGACTCAGCAGATCCAGCGCTCCCAGTCGGACACTTCCTCCATCAACATGTCCCAGCTGAGAAGGGCATGCGGCGCGGCCGGCGCGGCCGCCGGCTCCGGACTCAACCCGCAGACCGCCAGTTACTTCGAGGTGAGTTGTGGTGATTAGAACGGGTGGTGGGGCCTCCTCAGAGGTCGTCTGGTGGCTCCAGTGACTGACCCTCATGCTATCAAACTCTCCATTGACAAGCACGTCCAGTAGCTCCAGTAACAGGCATGTACAATTCCTCCAACGTGTCCTTAAAATAGCTTCTAAGCTCCGTCCAGCACCTCCTGCAGAACCCGTCCAACAGCTCCTGTAGCGAACCCTCCATTGACTCCAGTAAGAGACAGGCCAAGACCAATATGAGGGACAGGACCAATGCTGGTTAGCTCGGGGAAGGCGGTGTTGGAGCCATAGGCGGCGGAACGGGGGGGGCACCGGGGCACCGTGCCCCCCCTTGAATTCTGCAAGGGGGCACCAATAGCAAGGTGCCCCCCCTTAAATTTGATGTATTAGTACCAGGGGCGGATTCGGGAAAACTCCAAGGGGAGGGTCATGAATCGAAGTGGTGCCCCTACCTATACCCAAAATTAAAACCTCAACGGATTTCGGCCACTTAATTTTGGTGGTGCCCTATTTTCAGTTTTTTTATTTTCTTTATTTTTGGTTAGTCGTGTGATGACTGGTGCCCCTGCTAGGCCGCTGGTGCCCCTGGAAAGACTGTGGTACCTACCTTCCCTGCCCCCTGACAAGCCTACGGTGGGCCCTGACATGACTTAGGTTCCCATGGGCCCTGACAGGCCCGTGGTGCCCCTGACAGGCCTGTGGTGTCCTTGCTAGACCTGTGGTGTCCCTGGGCCTTGGTAGGTCTGTGGTGCCCCTGTTAGAACGCAGGTACCCTTGACAGGTTTGTGGTGCCCCTGACAATCCTAAAGTGCCAACGACAGGCTTGTGGTGCCCTTGACAGGCCCATGGTGCCCTTGCGAGGCCGCTGGTTCCCCTTCGAAGCCGATAGTGCCCCTGGCAGGCCTCTGGTGCCCCTGGCAGGTCTGTGGTGCCCCTGGAAGACCTATAGTGCTTTTGCTAGGCCGATGGTGCTCCTGACAGGCCTGTGGTGCCACTGACAGGCCCGTGGTGCCCCTGCTAGGCCTGTGGTACCCCTGGCGAGTGGCGGGCCTGTGGTGCCCCTGTCGGCTGTCAGGCATGTGGTGCTTCTGGCAGGCATGTGGTGATCCCAGGCCCTAAGTCATGACCTATGTGACCTCCCCCCTGGGATTCGCCACTGATTAGTTCTGCGATGGCTTCTTGGGAATTTGATACATGTAGGATAAATGGAATTTATCAAACGACAATAAGGAAGAGACAAACACTAAGGTACTTAGGGATCAGCTTAAAGTTAACCACACATACGGGGGTGAACTGCCATTTTCGTTTATTAAAAAAAAAAATAAATAAAAAAATCATCGTGCCAGGGCTGTGACGAAAACTAAGTGGCCTAAATCCGATGAGAAAACAGGATTTGGGGGTACCCTAGGTTTGGCTCCTGGAGCTGGTGCCCCCCCTTGTCTCAAATCGTTCCGCCGCCTATGGTTGGAGCTCGCGTTGTCGCTGCGCGGCGTAAACCTGTTTGCCGGAAGGTAGGCTGTGCCGCAGTACACCGAAGCTCGGCGGCACAGCCTAGCGTCGGGTATTTTGCCAGTACGGTTAGCGGCGCATCACTTTACATGTTCGTGAGAGAGAATGAGAACGGACGAGCGTGAAACGTTGATTTTTGAGTACTCTCGAAATACTATGGATTGCGTCTTAGGCCAGTGCCCTCTTGTTACGCCGCTAATGTGGAGAGGATGAAAGGATTATGGTTTTCTGATTGATACTGCCGCAAAAACCGCATGAATTATTTCCTATAAATATGCAAAAATGATCAATAACATGGCAGAAATGTAAAACTTTTATTGTAAAATAGGCCAAATATGAGAATTTTTGCATATTTATATCTATTCATCATGGCAAAAAGCACCATCTCACATATTAAAAGAATTATTTCCTCATATGTTTCATCTAGGGCAGTTTTAACAGCTTTTGTTACATGTCATAAATCTCGAAAATTGGCCTACATTGTGACTATTCCACGATCCAGATCTTGAGAAAACCATTTCGTGTCCGGAAAGTGAGTTTATTTTTAACCGCTATAACGGTACCTAACCTTATAACTGCAATGTCTGTGCTCATGCAGGCACCAACCACATTGCTGTATCATTGTAACCGTTTTTATTGTTTTCCTGCAGTCAACAGCGTGGGCCGTGGACGCCGCTCTTGAAGTGCTGTGCGTTGAGGTTTGCGTAATATTTTACAGAGCGATGTTGTTGCTCGTACAGTGTATTCCAAGAAGAAACCAACGAGGCGCGACGTTTACTGCGAGCGTCCCTCTTCAGCGTCCTCTTACTTAGATTAATAAACAAAAGCACTCTTATCCGCCTGCTTTAGCACATTGCTGCGTAGTTGTCCAATATTCTCTTCTGTGGCACATTTCACGCTTTCATGGATTCAGCTCCATGATGATATATTACTGATTTATACTGATTTATACTACTATTGCTGATACTGGATTCCGACGATGGCTTTTCAATCCAAATATGATAGATGCATTTTAAACAGTCATTTATCGTGTTGACTTGTTAATGCGTTTCATTTATAAACGTTCGATTGTCTTGTTGCTTCTACATCAGCATGACATGCAATTGATCATTCGAAAGATATTTACTAGTATCGTTGCTTTTTCTAGGACAGTCAACTGACGGTGTTCAATTGTTGAACTGTTATGGCTTCATCATTTGTTTTCAAGAATCGTTCACTGTACTATATAGTGGTCGCTTATATGCGCCATTCTGCCAAGTGATGGGAATCGGTGGCACCTTAGAATGGTGGTCTCAGCTAAGTTGGGGCTGTCTTTCCCTTCCCAAACATTTAGCCGTCACAACAACGCAACAACATCGCTCCTCATCGCAACACACCTCGATTAGAATGACACACGGTTATTGCACGCCATGTGGTTGTGCAATCAATGAATGTCTCTTATCAGCATTAATGAACATTGATGCTCTGTTTTATCAGTGGGTGGCGCTGCTCTCGTTAACCGTTAGCAATCACTGCATCAATCGCGGCGTTTCACAACGTGCACTGAACGGACAGACTCGTCATTGTCTGGTGCACAGCGGGGTGGCGATAGCACAGTCTGCAGTCTGGCGGCTGATCAGTGCAGTGATCAGCTTACGGCGGCCCTCCCTCCCTCAGTCATCTCTACAGGCCTGCTCGACTCGTGCACGGTCAAGGCCGACATGAACCATAACCCCCTCTGGGTCCCGCCCCGTCTACTGTCCAGTGCCCACCCTCCCCAGGACGCCGGGCCGTGTCGCCTCCTCCCATTGCCAGCCCGAATTGGCAGCGTGCTGTTGCTGTGCCGAGCGGCGGCCCCGGGCGGCGCCCGTGCTGCGGGGCTCAGCTGATGGCAGGGCGGACCCACCGACCGCCGGGGGGGGGGGGTCTCGGGTGGATGATGCCTTGTCGGTGTCCTGTGACACAGCTCTACTGAGAGGGACGCCGGTCATCGGAGCATCGGGGCTGGGCAGGAGAGGGAGAGAGCTCCAGGCGCGGCAAGCTGTGTGGCCAAGTTGACTGATCTGCAATGAGGCGGTTTGTAATGTAAACTTGACGAACTGATCTCAGCATATGAAGTATTTGTTTGCCAAAATGACAGTAGTCGGCGCGCCCTTAAGCCCCAATTAACAAACAGAGTGTTTGTTTGCAGCATTCATGATGTATCTGCAAGATGAACGGTGCTGACAAGGTCAATGCTCATCCGTCTACCTTTTATGGAATTTGTTTTGAAGAATGCATATTATACACTCATGGAAACGCACATGATGGGTGATAAATTATGAGGTGGTAATCCACTTCATCGATCACTTAGCGTAGCCTCGTGCCTCGCCAGCTGGCACAGCATGCGTCGAACCGACGGACTGACCGATGATATTCAGCAGGGGCAGCAAGGGGGAGGGGGCGTCTCGTAAGGCCCCATTCGTCCCGTCCCGTCCTGTCCCATCCCGTCCGTCCCATTGCGGCTGTTCTTACCGTTTGACTTGCAACTGCACGTGCTCGGGTGGAGGTAAATATTATGACTGGCTCCGGGCCGCGGCAGATGACCGGACGTCACGACCACGGCCCTGTCGCCTGCCACCCGTCTCGCGGCGTGCTGAACTCGTCTGCAACTTGCCAGCGGTTTTGGCACGTTTTGGCTTGGCGTCGATGCCGATAATGTTATCTGGGTCACTGCCGACCGGTGATGTCAGGTGTGACATTGTTAACGAGGGTTTGGGGATGTTTGATGTAGACTGTTCTTTATTTGATTTGGTGATATTGTCAGTTAAGAAATTTTACATCAACATGGTACGAAGTTCCCTTTCGTCTGAAACATTCCGTTTCGCTGTTATGTGCTTTGTGATGTCCTTCTGGTTAAAGATAGGGCGCCAAGTATTGTCTAAACATCCAGATTAACATCCATGGAGCCAACCGTTCTATCTTGAATTGCTGACCGCCCTCTCTCCTTTGGCTCTTTCAGGTGCAATACGTGTGCAAAATCAAAACTTCCCACCGCAAGGGGCCACCCTCCTTCATCGACGACGCCCTTCAGGAGTTTGGCGAGTTCAAGCGGCGCACGGCGAGTCAGGCAGGCGGTCTGGCACTGCGCTCAACCCCCGATGATGCCCTCTACCTGCAGGTAAACAAAGTAGTGTTTCAAATCTCGCCTGTGGCAATCGGATATGGATGTTATTGTTTTGTTAGATAACGGAGTAAATGACCACATAAATAACCAAGCCTGCCCGACCATTCGTCAAAAGTCAGGCCTGGAGTGTCTTACTCTTCATGGGGTTACTCAATACCATTCGTCCTCTACTCGTCTTCAGTCTTCCACCGCTTGACTCCTTCTGACCGGCTCTGTGTATGTAAATCTAACCGACGCTCCCCTCTCCTCCAGGGTGACCACGCGCTGCGCTCCGGCTCGACGGACTCAGTGAACAGTGTGGGGAGCTGCCAGAGCTCGGCGTCCCTACCACCGAGCGGGCGGCACGGGTCTGAGGGGGCTGAGGAGACCGGGAGCACCGGCAGACTTACGGAGACTGTGTCGGAGGTGGGTGGCAGACTTACCAGAGACTGTGTCAGACTCACAGAGACTGTGTCCGAAGGGAGAATCAGACTTACCAGAGACTGTGTCAGACTCACAGACTATGACTGGAGTGGGTGTCAGACTCACATGTCTGATGTGGTTTTCAGACTGCTTGCAGAAACTATCCGTGTTTATGTCAAACCATGGCAAAACTAACCCAAGCGCCCCAAGCGTTAGCTAGGATAGAATATGAGACGCCTGCGAGTGGAATTGCTGATGTTGCACGGGAAAAGGAGAAAAGGCCCTCCTTAGGAGGATCTGGCGCATGACCGATGCGTTGAAGCTGCTTGTGAGGGTTGCTAACTGTGTCTGTGTGTGTCGATTAACAGCCACACAGCGTTGATTGATTTATCTTACAGAGTTCTGTTTTTTATGTGGCTGTCATCAGTGCCTGATCCCTTGCTGTCATGCCTTTGCATGCACCTTTGTGTGGTAGCATTGACCCAGCATTGTTCAATGTCGGAAGAGACACAGCAGTATCGCTATCGTTAAATATGCGCTGACTTACGCACGGTTTTACCCGATTTCAGTTGTTGCCGGCATGAATGGCGAGTTTTGTGTTGCGGCAACAACCTGCTAGCCTACCGGGTTCAAATTGCTGGTTGATTCGAGGTGATTTTATTTTGTCGGTGGTGGATTGTGATTACCGGGAAACTGCAGTCGCTTTCCGGTGGCTTTCATTCCTGTGCTTCTACTGACTGGCGACTATGACGCTGGTGGCTGGGTATGCAATGTGTGTGTTCATTAAATATAAGTATGTGTATTTTGGTTCACCCTGGACGCACGTGTCATGCTAATGACTACTCACACTCTTTCCGCTTTGTCGCTTCTTCATGTGGCTTTGACTTGCTGCATGTGGGGGGGGGGGGCTAACGTTTGCCTCGTTGCCACCATGCCATCCGGTTGCAATCAAAAATCATTGGCGTTGTGCAATAATGTGTCGTTCCTTATTCCCGCTGTCTGTCTCGGGAACACTCTGATCACTCGACCTCAGGAGACTGGCTGCATTTTCACACCTCTCTCGTAACTTCTTTTCGCCCCATCGTATCATCCTGCGCCCCTAAGCTCTCTCTAACTCCCATTCAGCTCTGTCAGACTCCCGATCAACCCGCCCTTCTTCTCTCTCGTCCGACAGCCGTCGACTCCGATCGCCGTGCCCAAGATCGTCAACATCCCGCCGACGCCGCAGTCGACGCCGTGCGACCGGCAGCTGTCCACGGTGGCAGAGTCGGCCGAGCTCGACCCGCTCGGCTCGCCGGCGTCCATCCCCCGCTCGGCCTCGGCTGACGGAGAGGTGACGGAGGTGACCGGTGGAGGGGGCGGGACAGCGACCGGCCCGTTCAGGACCCGGGCCATGAGCGGCGACACGGCCCGCATGAGACGCAGGTGAGAATTGGGGGAAGGAGGAGGGAGATGGAAATCGTGGGAGAGCATACCATTCATTTATTACTGCTTTTGTGGGATTTATCGTCTTGATATCCAAAATTGGTTGAACGCTCTTTTCAACGTCTATTCTGACGGTTGAGATCATCTGACGTTATTGGATTTGTAGCGCCATGTAGAAACATGCGGGCTTGTAAACTGGGTTGTATGACCGTTGTTTCGTTCGCTCAAATCATGCTTCGCGAAGATCCGACACGTGCCTTTGTTAACCCAACTGAACTACCCTAGCGATCTGGAGGCGGAGTCGCTGACGACCGAAGGGTAAGAGTGCTATGAGACGTTCCGCGCACTTCCTGTCTGTGTCTAGTTAGTCTGTGTGATCTTAGCTTGGTTGTTGCCGATAGCCAGTCCACACAACACGATATACGCCATCTGTGTCGACTCTTAGGTGGTTTAGCTTCTGTCGTGTCTGTGCTATCTGTCTACCGACGCACGTTGATGTCGCGGAATTTTCGGTCTTTCTTTAACCTGGAGTTGCTTAAACGCGGGTAGATGCTTGGACTGCGCGATAGATGTTTGTGTGAGTGCCTGTGTCTGTGTATTAGAAAGTTTTTCTTTTCGTGAATGCCTGTGTCTGTATTAGAGCGTTTCTCTTTCTTGAATGCCTATAATAGGAAAGAGTATTTGCAACCAAATGTCTGCTCTTCTGACAATCTTGTCTCTTATAGCTAGTCTGCACGCCATTTTTACCCATACTCTGCTTATTTTCCGATGAATTTATTTTGATCTTTTGTTGTGGCAAAGCACCATGCGAGAAGACTTCACCATGCAGTTTTTTGTCCGTTTTTATTATCTGTTACGAATTTTATGTGAAATATTACACCTACATGTCCTTGATACGAGTGTTAAAATATGTAATTATTCTAGGAGTCATGCCAACGGCGCATGCATCGTGGCCTGCCACCATTGCCAGGAGGGCAGTGTTTTCCGTGTCTACCTTTTGCCGCGTGTCTATCGACTAGGGATTTGGTCCGGGAGGGCAGCCAGTCGGTCGTTCCGTGTCACCCTCTAACCATCTCACTTCCGACAGGAGCGGTGTTCACAGGAGTGAACAATTGTGCCGAGCTGGGGTAGCACAAGCTCCCCCAATTCCACGCCGGCCTGGCTTTGGAGCCGCAACTGACGGTGGAGGCCAAGGTCACCGCTAGGGCGGCGGCGGATTTGCTGCGCCCGTGCTACCCCAACTCGTCACATTTGTCGACCCCTGGTTGTGCAGCAGGAGGAGGCAGACGACCGTACGTTCCATGCCACCCTATAACCGTCCCACTGCCGACAGGAGCGCTGTGCACCAGGAGGAGGCGGGCGGCCGGCTCCGCGCCGGCTCCGTGGGCTCCTCGCTGATGGCCGTCCGGCGTCGTCTCAGCTCCATGGATCACAACTACACCATGCTCTTCCAAGTGGGCAAACTCGAGCTGCAGATGATCAGCCCCGACAACAAGGCTGTCAAACTGCACAAGTTTTTCAGGGATATATCGCAAATCACTCAGGTAATGGATGGATAAGACGGAGATATGAAACGAGAGGGAGAGAAATGTATGATAGTCAGGATGCTGGAAACCCTTAAAGCTGAACCCTGGAAGCTGTACTCGTATTTGTGATTGTAAAGCCAGTCACCGGCTGTGCTTTGTTTTAGGTTAGGTTATGTAAGAGAAAGCAACTGAGCTTAGTCCTCCTCAGTTCTCATTCTCTGGATCCTGACAATGCCACTCGACCAACAGGGTGTAAAGAACAGCGACCATTTCGGTTTCATCTGCCGCGAGTTTCCGACGCCGGTGCACGCCCCCGGCGCTGCTACGGGAGCCTCAGGGTCAGGTTCGGCTGAGGGACAGCCCTCTCCGGCCCCCACCCCGCCGCCCGGAGGGTCGCACCCCAAGGGGTCGTTTGTCGGGTACATCTTCCGCTGCCAGAACGACAAGATCGCCGAAGACGTGATTAACAGTGAGTCGGTGATTTTTTCGCTGGAATGGATTCGTGGATTGAGTAAAAGCCAAATGTCGTATTTGAATTGGTATAGGCATAGTTGCATGCTCGACTTGTATTATGCCTCTTGTCCGGCGCTAATCTGTATTGTGCTTAAAGTAAAAGCTTCGGGCTGATATTTGCTTTAGTTTCTGGGTTGTTAATGGTCAACAACTGCACATAGCCCGTTAAAAATGCGCATGGTGTCGCTGAGCCAGGGAGGACACCAAATGTGTTCGGGCACGGGCTGGCTTAGGTGCGAGCTCATATCGAGTTAGTGTGAATATATTTCTATTTTTATCTCTCCAAAGCTGACATAAAGCTTATTCTGCCCGTGTTTCATGACGCCTAACCACTCTGTTTGTTTCCGCAGCTCTGACGCAGGCGTTCCGTAACGCCCACGAGATGATCCGTCAGAGCAAACGGCAGGCGATCCAGCAGTGCGACTACTGTCCGACCGTCTGGTTCAACAAGCTCTGTGCTGAGCTCGAAGGTAAGGCGTGCTACTGCTGTTACTGCAGATGATTCTATGACGATGATGCTATTTATTAGGCAAAAACATCACATACCTCTGTATACAGAATACAAGCCCTCCGTACACAGAGATTTATTTATAATTAACTACATGCCTTTTTGAAGATCGGTGCATAATTCCATGACTACCTGTCATGTGGTATCCCTCCCCATGCTGTGTGATGTGTCGCCCGCCTTGGTCAAATGCCGTGCCAATGTGACGCCAGATGGACGATAGGGGTGATGTGTGCTTTATCGTTCATCATTTCGTATCGTGATATTTGGTGTATACTGTATTCATCGAAATGCAGTTTGTGTGTGTGACTTTACGGCCTGATGTGACGTGTGACCTTCAGTGTGATTTATTGGACTCCCGTCCGTGACTTATGTCTGCTGTCTATGATTCGGGTGATTACGGTCCATGGTGGATTTAACATGCGACGTCCAGTTTGTATGGTTTGATGACAAACGATGTGGGAACTGATGCCCGTTTTTTAGTGATTTAGTGAACAGCTATGCCCAGCGCTGATGCTAAACATTTGTCTTGTCGCGTGCCTGTCAGCCTCTCAGTATGCTTTCACATGGATTTGTCGTTAGTTTTTGTAGGTCTTTTATTGACTTGGTCCGTGATCGTCCTACGTCCGTGATCTGCGAGTTTGCGGGTTTTGCAGCAAATCGGTACGCAGGTCAAGTTCAGATGATAGGAAATACACAGGGTCGGCTACACTGGAGTCACGCAGATTCAGTCAAGGAAATCCCGCACGTTCAGTACAGGAAATGCCGGATAGTCAGGACGGTCAGGATGTTCCGTACCGATATAAAGTTCAGAGCTACGAACTTTTTTGCAGAATCTGCGAGATTGCGTGATATGAGACAGTTGTTGGCGCACTTGGTGGCGCACCGTATGAATATAAGTGACGTAATTAGTAATTGTTTCTTTAATTTTCATGTGTTATTGATGTTTTATTAGCAAAATAAACAATTTATCGATGAAATAGTATAAAAGATAACAAACTTAGGCTTTGTTGCGAAACCATTTATTAGTTGTTATTATTACGTCAGCGTACAATAATTCACGGAAATTCTGAAAAAACGCAGAAACCGATGCCAAGTGAGTCTCGCAATCACGGATCTGCAGATCACGCACGTAATTTCCTGGACGGTCACGCATAGTGTAGCTCAGCCTTAACCGTATTCAGCGTTGTAAGCTTCGCTCCATGCCAAATTAGCAACCCATGTCGGGGTTCAGTAATCTATGCTAGTCTGTGCTGGTCATGAGTACCCTCCTCACTGGCCAGCCGTGGTTCTGCCATATCCCCCTGCCATTCCTACATCTAACAGCGCCTGTCTTCCCGCCCGGCGCAGGTCTCAGCCCGGAGGTCACCCAGACGGTCGTGGTACGCGCCCTGGACTGTCTACCGGCCGACGAGAGGCGCGAGCTCCTCGTCAAACTGGCCGGCGCGCAGACGGTGGACGCTGCCGAACAGAACGAGCTGCTCATGTCGCTGCTGAGGTTCCTCTGTGACGAGAAGCAGCGCAAACACACGCACGTCACTGCCGGCCAGCCGCTCCCGCCGCACGGGTAAGATAAAGGGTCATCGCTGAGGCGTCCTCACCTGAAGTTTTTCTAGAGTCTTGCTACACTCAAGTGGTATTAGCTGTCGGTTATTCACTGTGCGTCCTTCATGATTCATTGTAGCCAATTTCAGTGATCTGAATGCGATCCTGGTAAGATAGCTACTAAATAGCAAGTGATAATGAGGGACCACCCCAGAGCCTCCTCATTCCTCATTCGTGAACGCTCATTTGGCTGGGTTGAGTGATGTTTAATCTTCAATTACGCCACAGTCAAACATTGCCAATGGAGCAATGAATGTACCGTTACTCCATGAGCAAACTTAATCATTCAATGGTTAGGACAAGTCTATGCGATTCCCATCCAGAAGAATTCAAGCATTGGATGACGGCAAAGCTTCGCTGTGAATCGCTTTGTGGGTCACTATGTCAGCGGCCAGTATTGCTAAAGCACCGCATTGATATAATTTGCACCGTAACGCTGACCTCATCTGTCGTTTGTTTGCTCACTCGCTGATTATCAAATACCTGAAGCAAGCTAGAACACTAAGTAAATAGATTGACTGCATTCTTTTAAATTAATGTGCTGCCGGAAAGTAATGAGGGCTTTGCGTTCTGCATTCAACGGAAGAATGTCCGAACAAAGTTTCCATTCGTAAGATTAAATGGTCCCAACCACCCACCTAGCAACTACTTTACATCGCGTGGGCGCCAAAGAAAGCGCCTGCTACAAATATAGCCGAATAGCGTGCTCCCCATTGGATGTACACCCTTTGCCCGCCTTCTACCTCTGCGGTTAGCAGCCCCGCTGAATCGCTAATCAATACATATAACGTCGGCGTAATTTGCTGACACAACAAGTCAACGAGCAAAATATATGCAAATTTATTGCTCGTCGTAATGAACTGTCGCGTAGATAACGACAACAAAGTTGTAAAATGAGTGATGTGCTTGCTACATATTCTGTCAACACGACGAAGGAGGTAGACTCATAGGTCATGCTTGAAGCCTTGAACCCAGGGAAAACTGCTGTCCGTTGCATGCCCGTTCTAGACTATTTGCATACGAAGCTGCGTGCACTCTGCGATTTAATCGAATAGCAACCTGTCGAATGCTGTGGTACTGGTGGAATCAAGGGCCATGTTACACATTCAGGGCACGGCTTGAATTCAGTGCTGATTACGTCCTACCGGGTCATAAACACTTACTTTTTAATAACTCCCTTTGTCCTGTCCTGCTCTTTCCGCAGTTACGACAGTCATAACCTTCTCTTCGACCTGAGCTCCGGACTCAACAAGGCAAAGCGCTCGCTAACCTCGCGTCTGGAGCAAGTCTGGAAGTACAACCGCACCAGGGACGAGAGTCGAGACGTCTCCGGCAGCTCCGCGCAGCCCGACCAGCTAGTCATGCACCAGGTTCGTGAGCTCGTCTGGCGATGGTGATGTCAGGGAACACTGGTGGGTTGGTTCCTCATAGGTGGTGTTTGCTCGTGTGGCATGCTGGGGTTGCGTCAAGTCCAGTGATAAGTGAACGTGGGCCATGCACCTGACTTGAAGATGCAGTGATCGTCAGCAGAGCTAGTCAAGGATCGATGAGGGGCAGGATGGGATGGGACAAAACATAAACGATGGAGGAAGGTTGGAAAGGCTGAAACAGGACGGGATAGGGCGTTCCCGGGGCTGACTGAACTGCGAGGGGAAAGGACAGGACGGAAGACGTTGGGATGTAACGCCATTGGCGGACACATTATTCAACCGAATAGAATGAGAGTGATGGCGGCGAAACGGAGCTGGCTGATGCTACTGGTTCACTGTGTCACGTGCAGTGGCCGTGGGGCGTACCGATGGCCTGCGTGCGGAGTGGTCGAGGGGTGATTAAGGACTAACCATTGCCGCCTGTCACGTGACAGCCGGCACGAATTGTCCACGTGACAGTTTGGGTGGATTCAGCCACCTCGCTGCGTGCCGGCGGCAATTTGTGCTAAACTGGGGAACCATGGGGACATTTCTACAAGTCATGTTTACTGCTACCATCGTTGACATTTGTTCCGCCGATACCTGGGCTTCTTTTTTCCACGAACTTATTAGTAATCAATAAGATTCCAGAAATGTCCATAACATAGTTTGTTGGTGATCCAACAAGGCGAAATCGTGATGTGCTTACACTGTACCCTGTCTCGGAAAAAAACTGATCAATGACCATTAACCAACACTGCTTATCAAGTGCACCGATGAGCTCAGCTGTCTGGGCGCCCCAAACTCCAATTCATTATCGATAACACCATCTTCATCTTGTTTGTCACTGATTTCCACCATTGCTTTATCCAACCACGCCCCTACGATGACTACCCCACCTGACTCCCACGTGTGTCTGCGTTGGACAGGGCTCTGCCAGCACCACCCCAGAGACTTCACCGTGCCCGACGCCAACCAAGGCCGATTTCCGGTACGAGTACCCGTCCGACTCACCGGTGGCCTCGCGACCCCGCAGCTCCACCATTGGTGAGCAGAGTGACGTGTAGTGGTCTCTAGTGGTGTCCAGTGGTCTCTAGTGGTGATCAGGGGTCCCTAATAGTGTCCAGTGGCGCTCAGAAGCGTCTACTATCATCCATTAGCATTGCATTGCGAGTACCTATGAACTTCACTATACAGATATAAAAAGTTACATGAATGGCGTACCGGTTTCGTCTCTACGACTTCATCGGCACCGTTACATCGAAAACGTTTTCGATGTAACGGTGCTGCAGATGAAGTCGTAGAGACGAAAACGGTTACCGGTTTCGTCTATACGTCATGAATGCCATTCATTTAACTTTTTATATTTGTGTCGTGAATTTCATAAGACACTCTCAATGCAATACTTGTCCAGATTATATTCACATCCAGTAGCATCTAGTGTCCTCCCTCCTCCGACACTGGGCCGTTCAGACCTCCCCTCAGGGCTGTCCATTGTTCGCTAAAAGTGCGTGCCGTTTTTGCTATCACCAGGCGCTAAGATTAAACACAAATGCCGCGACTTCAACACATATAGGGATCGTCATGCTCAGTCGATCGCTACTGCTCTATATAAATTTACCCAGGTATTCTACAAAGCATGTCACGGCTTTCCCGCACTGTGGATTCCTTTTCGGCATTATAGTATACAGATATCAGAAGCACATCAAGTTTCGCCTTATTTTCGACTTTCCTTCTGACCGGTGTTTCAACGCTCGTTTCAGCCGGTAGCTCCAGGGATGGCTATCGGCGAGAGTATCGGGGCAAGACAGCCGCCCAGCCGGCCAGGAACGACAGCCCCATGGTGGCCATGTGAGTACGCACATGATGCACCGGCCCGGTGGGGCTCAGAGCTGGGCATTGTCGTTTGCCAGCTGTTGTGACTTGTGTTCATGCGATAATTTAAAGGCCAATATTTTGTTTTGACCTCGTTCTAACATGTATGAGGTCCCATTATGTATTAGTCTATGTATTAGGTCCCATTATTTTACATTTCTTTCGATGTGACTCACCTATTTGTAAAAAAAATAATATGCTGGGGGTTACTCTTCGTGTTTCCTACGTCAATGTTGTTAGGGCTCGCTGCTATAAAAAAGTTATGATCCTGTTCCTGAGCAACATCGCTGCGACATAATACAGGGGAAAATGAACGCTATCGGCTGCATTTTGTTCGGCGATACTTTCTTTTGTGTAATTTTTACTTTCGATTTAAATATACATCATCGTGCATTTGTTTTATTTCAATAAATATGATATTTACATGACCTGTCTTACGAAGCACAATGTGTAATTGTGTCAATCGTAAGTCAGAAGATATTTACACAGTACAAGCCAAGATAATGAACAGGTTCAGTTCACATCGTAGACGCATATCACAAGGCACAGTGGTCTATTTAGTTGTAAGCGGGAGTGGGCTTGTAGGTGGGGGCGGGCTTGTAGGTCGGGGCGGGCTTGTAAGTAGGGGTGGGCTTGTAGCTGGGCTTGTACTCGTCGTAGCGGGCCTCACCCTCGTAGGTGACCTCGGCAATGTTGCCAGAGTAGGCGTCATCCACACGGTAGGTGACCGTCTGGGTACGGCCGTCGGGCAGCACAACCGAGTAAGATCCCTGGGTGGCGTAGCCGTCACGCGCCTCCTGGGCGTTGAAGACGGGCTCGTAGTCTCCGTATCCGTGGACGTCGTAGCTGAAGTCGTACTTGGGCGGCTGGTCGTAGCTCTCCTGCTTGTAGGGAGCGGGCTTGTAGGCCGGCTGGGGGTGGTAGGCGGGCCTGGGCGCGTAGGAGGGCGCGCTGTCGGCGGCGGCAACGGCCAGCAGGGCGGCGACCAGGAAGAACTGAAACATCACGCATTGATGATAGTCAGGGCAAAAAGTAGTACTTTGTTTAAGAGCATTTATTGAATTAGGAATGAACTTTAATTTAATGCTGTATTTTGCGTCCCAATACCAAATGAAAAGTGTTACGAACTGCGTATGTGTGTTATCCGCGTGATCAAGTGATCTTTTGGGACACGAAAATAGAAGAAATGAGCCATCCCCTAGCGGGCTACTTTCCGGTTTTCTGATTAAACTGGTTATTGTAAAAAGTTTTTAATTGGCATTCCTTTCCCACTTAAACTTCAAGTTGCAAGCGAAAAAATTTGCTTAAAGTTCGCTTTTTCAAACAAGTTTGTCGCGGAAGCAAAAGCTATTGGTTGTGCGTTTTTTTCATCTGAGAACGAGGTTGAAGTAATATTGCAAGGATAAATAATATGTATGCCATGAACACTCACGTTTATAAGATATACTGCAGTTGGATTTGTGAGCCTGTCTTTTTTGCCTTGAGTGCTTTGAAGAAAAACGCACGTGTGCTTTTAAATGGCCGGCTGAAAATTTCATCGTACTTTTTGATTTTACTTGTTAACTTTCTATTCATTCCTATCACTTGTCTCGCGCCGTATCGATTTGCGCACTTCCAGCGATCCGACAAGCTTAAATCGATCTAAGTGCTACTTAAGACACTATATATGGCCTTGCTTAAGACTTAAATGCGACTTTAGACCGTGCGCAAAAACAACAGTTTGCTGCACGTGTTTACTACTTCACACCTACCTTCATGTTGAGTGTGCTGTGGAGCTGTGTGATCAACTGATGCCGACCTGCGGACCGGAGCGGCTTTATACGGCTCGGAGCCGGGCCGTGACCTAGACATTCGCCGATGGACGGGCGTGGTCAGATGACGTGCCGGCCGAAGGCTAGTTGTGTGTGAAAGTAGTTAGTGATATTGTAACATTTGTAGTACTGAAGGTAGGTAGTGTTACCTCGGATATTACCTCGCTGGCAAAAGAACAGATGGTAATGCAATTTGCACATCCTGATGCGGTTTTGTCGAACACGTATGATGTGACGTGTAGAGAACGCGTGAACATCGGCACAAGCTGTATGTAAGAATTCCGACTGCACCCCAATCGGAGCTATGAAGAACGCTCAAACATGTGATCCTCCTGTTTGAACTAAAAGCAATAGGTACCTATGTATACTCAAAGGCATGGTTCTGAAATTTTGTATTCTTCATTGCGTAGCTGTTATCCGCTTTTCAATCACCAACTTCGCCCTTCTATCATTGTTGCCACCAGTTATGAGTTACCTACCAGTGAGTTATGAGTTATGAGCTATGAGTTAGCTACCAGTTAGGAGTGCTCACTCCATTCTTCCCCGGCAGCTTCAAGAAGATGGGTCAGAGTCCCCGCGGTCCCGAGCCGCTCGGCCCGGGACTGGAGGGGACTCCTCGGACCTCCCCAGCCTCCTGGCGACAGGCCATCTTCAACAGGATCCGCACACCAGGTCAGTCCGCCGGGGTACAGCGTGACCCGACGGCTGTGGGGTGTTTAGTGGGCCGGTGTCTGTCGGGCCGCCCATTGCCCCGGCGACTCGGCTGGCGTGGCTGGCGCTCTGTGCCCTGGTGACCGGCAAGGCGGACTGTGCTCTGGCGTCTTGCGGGACGCCCTGTGCCCTGGCGTCTTGTGGGACGCCCCGTGGTTTGGCGTCTGTAGAGGCGCTCAAACGACGTGGCATCTGCAGCAACACTACTGAGCATCTTACGAGCTCTGATGGGACGTAGAAATTAACTAACAATTCGTCCCCTTTTCAGGAGTAGAATTATACATTTCGGCTTACTCTGATTCATAGGTTCTCTGATGCATTTGATGCAGTTTGTCGTGTCCATAGGAAGCCGATCTAACGGAATCTGACAACCTTACGGAACGAGGCAGGGTGGAACAGAATTAGAACAGAAGGGAACGGAATTAAACGAAATGAAACGGATAGAAACAAACGAAACAAAATAAAACGGAATGGAACTCACGGGACGAAGGCAACCTCTTCGATGGTTTTATTTTTAGCCTTGTGATGTGTGACTGACACGAAAATGATCGGTTGCTGGCGGTCACCGCCGGCTTTTACGAACCGGCCGTATTTTTGAACACGTCATAGTTTTATTTTAGCGTTTGCTCTCAAGACTTTACACGAAGATGCCTTTATTTTCACTGTAACTGCCTCCAAGGGTCTGGTCACTGCGGAGTCTGACCCAATGTTCTCACGCACGTGTGTGCAGATCAGCGGCATTACAGTGTAGGGACATATTGCAGTGCTGACTGACACATGTCGGTTTGTTTGTCGGAGGTCATTGCAGACGCAGTGACTGATCTGTGCTATGTAGGTCCTCAACATTCATCGATGCAAACCCTGACAAACTGGCGTGCTGGTGGGAGTTCCTGAAGTTATAACATGCTTGCTTGATAAAAAACACATTTATTCTTAAAAAGTGAACAAGAAGCACTGAAAGCAGGTAAAGCCTGTGTTACGTCTCTGTCGTGCCATCCCAATTAACGGCACCTCGCCTTCGCAACAATAAGGAACTGAACGAGCGATGTTTCCGTATTTCCACGGCGACGCGGCCCTCTTTCGGTGGGCACTTCCTGTCACGATGTCGTGCCTGTCGCCGACAAACGCCCCGCTCCCCTGAGGTAGGCTCCTCCTGGCAACGCACCGTGTAACGCACGCGCTGGTGCCCCGGTGACCCTGGTCCGGCGCCGACTCGACCCGCGCTCGACCCCCAGACTCCGATCAGGGGGACCGACGGCCGGCCGCGCGGCCCGACGACGGTAAGCGGCTCCCGCGGGTCCTTCTAGTGTGATACGACCTTATAAGGTAAAAGTTTGTTTTTAATGAATATTCCCATTTATTTTGTTCCTTGCTGGGAAGTCGGTTTATTTTGCATTAGAAACGATGAATCGCAAATGGTATCATCGTGTTCTTTTTTTTTTGTCCCTAGAGCATCATTAGGCTAAATGCTAATAGAGTGTTGAATGTTCTAAAAAGAGCGCCTTGTTATCTATCATCATAGTAAAAAATGAGCTATGTACACCAGTAAACATACCTTGTGACATTGCATAAATTTTGAGGCTGAGGAATCGTATTCTGAGCTTTGCAAGTCTTCCGTACTGATGTATTTAAATCGCCTTTTCAAATGGAGCAGTAGTCATGTTCTAGGAAAAGAAACAAGTCATTGAAAAGTTATTATTCTAAAACACAGTAATATCCACAGTAATATCAACCATCCGAGTGATATAAAGAATTTGGGCAGTTGCCGTATTGAAGTTAGTGGGAAGACTGCTATGATACGGACTGAACTTTTCCTTGATCACGTTTTTGATATTGCGTCTAATTGCACATCATTCAATCCGTGGATGTGATCTTTGGACCCGCTCCCCCAGCTGTTCTCTCGCCCTCGTTCTGCTGTGCGCTCGGTGCGACTGTGGTCGGCGATGGCCATGCCGCTGCGGCTGCCGGCGCCGCTGCTGCTGTTCCTGCTGTCCGCGCTGCCGGTGCCCAGCTCCGGCAGCGGCCAGCTGCTGCAGGTGGTGCCCTGGGACTCGGCCGACCACCCGGAGCTGGCGCTGACCGCCGCCGTCAGTCCGGTGCAGTGCGGCGTCCGCTGCCTGCGCTGGAGCGGCGCCCAGCCGTGCGCGGCGCTCGCCTTCAGCACCGGACAGTGCCGGCTGCTCGCCTGTCCGGCCGGACACTCGCTCACCAACGGCGTGTGCGCGCCCGACTGTCCGGCGGGCACGGCTCTCGAGAACGGCCAGTGCGTGGTCCAGTGTCCGGCCGGGTGGGTCACCTTCGGCAACGCCTGCTACCTGCGCGTGGCCGAGGCGCGCTCCTGGGCGGCCAGCGAGACACACTGCGGTGCGCAGCTGTCCGGAGCCCACCTGGCATCCGTCCACTCCGCCGAGGAGGAGACGTTCATTTGGAATCTGATGTCGAGCAACGGCGCGCTGCCTGTCAACTACCACGTCGGCTTCAAGCACCTGGGCACCGACACGGCGTTCGCATTTCACTGGGTGGACGGCACAACCGTGGTGTACACCAACTGGCGCACCGGCCAGCCCAACTTTGACCAGACCCTCGACCTCGGCACATCGATGTACACCTCAGGGGAGGCCTGGTGCGACGTCAGTTATGACGGCAGCTACGTTTTCCATTCGATTTGCAAGTTTGCTCCCTCTGCAAAGTAGTTAGTAGCTAGAACAAGACTTTCAGACATGTTCAGGCGCACTGCTCAATATGGCCAGTTATTCAGACAAACCTTTCGGCTTTCTGACATTGGCTTTGCTCTGGGATGTAGGCTCCATCAGTTGCCTATTCTGCGTACGTTAATGGCGTATCATAATCTACCTTTGCTTGATTCTGAAATTGCTTATGGTTGCAGCGGTGTCATGCATCCGAGCAAGCCCGATTTCATAAATTTCATTTTTGTTTCATTTTTGTAACCTGATGTGAACATTGGCCAAACCAAATGTTGTTTACTAACTATATATTTATGGGCGAGTCCCATGATAAAAATATTTTTATGGCGTCATCTAGAGACACCGTATTTCTAGGCTCTAACGCTGCTCATTGCTGACACTCAGAAGTAATTTCGCTTAACCCTTTTTGGGTGAGCCAAACCTTTTTTCACAGAAGTGTAGGTATACGAGTACATTTGATTTGAAGTAGTTATTTTAAAGGTTTGTTAGCAATGGGCGCATACATATTACATATTTCCGACCCACACGTTGGTCACGAATCTACTATTGTATTACTATTCTATTTTTTCCCCTATAAAGACCGGATATCTTAAAGGGAGATAATGAGCTTTCTTTTTTCTTAAATAAAAATTACTCGACATCTATACTATTTCTACTGTAGTTTCTATAAAATATGAAAATTTCCTAGCACATTTTCGTATGTGAAAAAGGTTTTTATTTTTGCAAAAAAGAAGCAGTACTTGCAGTACTTGTAACACCCACCGAAATGCGTTGTCCTTCTCTATAAAAAAGTCGCAGTATATGGCGCTTTTGTTTCAAACAGCGACGCTTGGGTTTTTGTTTATGTTATCGCCTTGTCGTTGCTTGGTTGTAAGGATTCTAATTTGAATTAGAGTTAATTCGGTTTAGAATTAATTAGATTCTAATTCGGGGGTACATAGTGCCTACTCTTCTTTGTTTCCAAGTATTATTTTGCGCCACAAATGAACGGCATGCGCCAGAAACGCAGCCAAATCTTGCGATTGCGACTACGAAATTCATTATTTTGGCGTCAGAGCCTGAAGCGAAAAATACAAGCATATTTATTTCAAAAAGACTTCAGGTTTGTCGAACGGTGTTATGAGAATTTTGATAACAGTACTGCATAAGTTTTTCAGTGATGCCGCAAAAGTGTTGTGTCTATCTTCTTTTATTGTGCAGTCGGCGGGACCGATTCAAAATTGAGTCGTTGCTACTAAAATAGCAGCATATGGCGTCAGATGATGAACAGGAAAAATAGTTGCGTAAATTTAGACATAAACCACCCCCAAACCATGAATATCTTTTGAAGGCACTATAGACGACCATTAACTAACTAGATGTGATGAAGATCAAATGTAAGGAATACGCTCATTTTACAAAATTACATGCAAGTACCAAAAAGTGATGTAAGTACTTATTCAACGGTCATTTTCAGCGCTCCCCGCTAACGTGACTTCAAGTTGAGATATTTGCGGCAAGGTACCGAATTGAGCAAAATGGTTTTAATTTACATTATAACTTGTTGTGTTTTGTCAGAAAATGGTCCTAACTCAGATTTTGTGGAAAAAGGTCATTATCTCCCTTTAACAGCGTTTACGCAACCTGGGAAAAAATGTGCCAACCTCTGAAGTGTCTGGATGTTTACATTTTCTCTGATATTGATCCGCTATGCATAACTTTGAAATGAGGCTAACACAGTCTAACACAACCCAACAAAACGATTCAAAATACACGTGTAAGCACGATCAATTTAACTTTCAGCGTGTGCCTCACGCGATTTGAAAGCGAATTACCAAGGGTCTACCGTGACGTCGCCTATTTTCATCTGCCATCATCAAGCTTAACTGAAGCATATAGTTATCTGCAGTGGCATATGCAGGCATGACGGTGGTTCTCAGTTTTACCATCACCTCTGCTGAGCCGGGCACCCGACTGACAAAGCCCGCTAAGATCACATGAAAGCCGAGGTGTCTGATAAGGTGACTAACGACGCTTATAAAGCAATGCAATTCTCAATGAAAGTAAGTGCAGCTCAAATGCACTCGCAATTATACCTGATAGGTTCTGATACAGATTCAGATGCGCAAGTGCCAGATACACAGTGAACGTCGATTATGACAGATTTTCGGCTGAGTATCAAGTCAAACTTAGTCGCATTTTATGGCTGTAATGCGCTTTGACTTGCTGATGCATTTACCTACCCACATTGAACACATGTGTTGCCATGGCATTAAAAGTAAAGTAACGCTCTGCAAATATTTTGCCTGACACAGACTCGGCGGTGATTTCGAGTAAAATGCGTGTCGTTGTTGGTATAAGGACCGTCTGACACGCACATAGGCGAGCGTTTTCCCATTCGCACATTACGAGGGCAATTGCAGACCACCTACGGCCTTGGACGTTTACGATTGTACGCGTGACCTTTGTTCAACGGAAGTCGTGACTTACCCCGTGTTCGCCAGAGTGACGTCAGCCTAACACGAAGGAGCTGAACGGTAGGACGTGAAATATTAGGTGTCAGCTATCGACTGCCGTTTTCCGCAATGTTCTCTCTACCAATGAACGGACGATGAACACCAGGACTGTAATAACTGGGAAAATTTAGTGACCTGATATTTAACCTGTTACACAGCGACTGATGCCTGATACTTACGTTACCCAGGAGCCGCTTTACTGGAGCACGTTAAAACGCCCCCCCCCCTTCCCCCCACTCAGCCACCGCCTCCATGTGTAACGATCGGACCACCGCCCTGGCGCGGGCTAAGTCTGGATGTTTATCCTATGTGCGTGCATGTATTCATTTTGTGTTTTTCATCTGAACCTTACCGTCGATTCAGATTTCATTCACCGTAACGTATTTGATAATTTTGCTTTTATTGACTTCCACTCATTGCGCAATAAATACACTCAAGCATGTATGAAAGGCACCTGCACTTTTCCCTTTGAGAACTTGAAGGAAAGTGCGTTGTTGACTCTAGTTGTAGGCTGGGGTGGGCTTGTAGGTAGGGGCGGGCTTGTAGGCGGGGGCGGGCTTGTAAGCCGGGGCGGGCTTGTAGGCGGGGGCGGGCTTGTAGCTGGGCTTGTACTCGTCGTAGCGAGCCTCACCCTCGTAGGTGACCTCAGCAATGTTGCCTGAGTAGGCGTCATCCACACGGTAGGTGACCGTCTGGGTACGGCCGTCGGGCAGCACAACCGAGTAAGATCCCTGGGTGGCGTAGCCGTCACGCGCCTCCTGGGCGTTGAAGACGGGCTCGTAGTCTCCGTATCCGTGGACGTCGTAGCTGAAGTCGTACTTGGGCGGCTGGTCGTAGCTCTCCTGCTTGTAGGGAGCGGGCTTGTAGGCCGGCTGGGGGTGGTAGGCGGGCCTGGGCGCGTAGGTGGGCTTGTAGGTCGGGGCGTAGGTGGGCGCCGGAGTGGTGTAGGGCGCGCTGTCGGCGGCGGCAACGGCCAGCAGGGCGGCAACCACGAAGAACTGAAACAAGAACATCATCAATTTAAGTTCTCTGGTTCTTTTGTAGTAAAGCGTCTTCATATACTTGTTGCCGAACACACGAGTTTTTAAAGCTCTTCGAACCCTTAGAACGTTAACCTTCGCCCCAGCAGTGGGGGGGGGGGGGCATATGTTATCACCCCGTCGCGTTTTTGCGTGTGAATAAAAAACCGCGGCGCCGCCGCGCCGCTTGGGGTAGCTTTTGGTACATCAATTTTGGAAAATGTGTGAAATTTTTGACCCCAGGTCATGTCAGGTCAGGTCACCAGGTCAAGTTAACTGACCAAGCCTAAAAAAGTTTGCAATCATGTCCAGTCTAGGCAGTGTTTGTCAGAAACGTTTTAAACTTGGTGGATTGCATGCTGTTATGGTCGCCTACAATTTGTATATCTCGGATTTTTTTTTATATCCGTGACCTAAGGTCAGATCAGTGGCGTGACCTTTCTCCATTACAAGTCAATGGAGAAAAATGAAAATGCCTCTAGATCCGTGTGTACGCATAGGAACAGTCCAAATATTTCAGAATCACAATGATTTGGACCACCCGTGATGACCAAGGTGTCATTTTTGCTGATAGCCTCTAGAAAGGTCATCCGAGGTCATTTGAGACTACAAACAGATTTTTGCTAATAACTCGCAATTGGAAAGAGATAGAACGCTGGGGATGTTCTTATTGTGTTTGTCTTGTTGAGACGCATCGACTGATATGCAACACGACCTTTTCCGGTCAGGTCATGACCTTGACCTGAGGTCAAATTTTCAAGTTGACCTTTCAAGGTCAAATTATAGTTCATTCGATGCGTCTCGGCGAGAGGAACACGATTCTGGCAATAGAATGTCGTAGCTTTTTGTAGTCGAAAGTTATTGTCGAAAAACACCTTTCGTAAAACAGCTATTTTTGGAGTTTTTGCCCTCTGGAGGCTAAACCGTTGACCTGAGGTCAATTTTGATAATGACCTTATCAAAAGAAGAGTTCAAAAGCTATCGATTGCTTTTCCATGCGTTTTTCTAGCTACCATAGTTCCTGAGATAACGGCATGTTTTCTGAAAAATATGACAATTGGCAAATTTTGAACTTTGATGACCTCTGGTGACCCTGATATTGCTCTGAGATGAAAAATGACTGAAGTACTTTCAAACGTACGCATTGAGAGCTATCGACTGCTTTTTACCGCGTCTCTCTAGCCCTCTTAGTTTTTGAGTTAGAGGTGGGTGGTAACATATGCCCCCCCCCCCCCCACTAGGGCGAAGTTGGCTGAGACCGCCACTGGGGCGCGGGCTAAGGAAAGGACCTAGTTTACTCTTACATTCAAATGGGTTTCCCGTCCCCTCACCTTCATGTTGTTGGTAGTGAGGCGGTGTGTGATCGTCTGATGGTGGGTGCGGTGTGGAGCCGTGTTTTATACACGGTCCAGCTGCGGTGACCGCCAGTGATGGTGACCCTGCCGGTGGCGGCGGCGCCACGCGGGGAGCGGCCGGCTCCAGCCACGAGACGCTCTGAGTTGTAGACTGGACGACGAACAATCACTTTGGTGTTCAACGGCTATTTTGTTGGTTCACAGAAGTCGAAAGCTGAACTTCCTTCTCTGTTTATCTTTTGCATGAATGCTCTGTTTGCTGCAGTTCAGACACACCCATAGCCATAAAAATCTTTTTTGCCATACCCACGCGCAGAAACTGCTCTTGCCTTTAGTACTCCGTCCTGTTTTGTATTTTCTGGAAGATATCATAATGCCAACACTGGTGTCTCAAGAAAGGCGGTCGTTGACGCTGCAAGAGAGTTGCAGGGGAGGAGGGGTGCATAGGTCCTGAAAGCTTCTCCAAGATAAAAAAATCTTCGATTTCGATTTTCCATGCATTATTTTACAGTTTACAACGAACTGTTACTGACGTTGCGTACTACTACTGTGGACGTCAAACTGCGTGGGACGCGACTTTTTCGCAATAACTTTTGAATACGTTGCCTCTCAAGAACGAAACTTCGGCAATGGACGTTTCAGACCCCGGCCTAATTTTTATTACTAAGGTTTTTCAATGTCCGATCAATATTTAGGGCACTTCCCGTTCACTCGTAATGCTAAGTGAAATATCAGCCCGGATGGCGGCTATCGTCAAGCTGCTCGCGAAGCCCCGCCTACTGTAGTGTCGTCTTCCGAATCTCCCGAATCAGCAGTCCGCTCGTCAAGTCCTCACCAAAGTCCTCACAGTGCCAGCCCGATCCAACAAGTGTATTTTACAAAACTGAAGCTCCGACAACATCTCGGCCAAGGTCAACTGAATTCATGGTCGTTAAATCACTGCCGTTTAGTTCACTGCCAAGTTACTACATTTTCCCCCCTCCATTAACGGAAACGCGCTGGTGTCTTGATGCGTCTCCCACACCGCGTTCGCCGTTCCCCACCGTCATGCGCCAGGGACGACGGTCCCCCACCGTCGCCACGTATCGGGGACGACGACCCCTCACCGCGCGCACCGTTGCCACGTATCGGGGACGACGACCCCTCACCGCGCGCACTGTCGCCACGTATCGGGGACGACGACCCCTCACCGCGCGCACCGTCGCCACGTATCGGGGACGACGACCCCTCACCGCGCGCCGGGGACGGCGGCGGTCCCGCCGGAGACGGCGGCGGTCCTCCGTCGCCGCGTGCCGGAGACGATGCGCGGCCCCTGGACAGCGGTCCACCGCCGTCGCTCGTTGGGGGCTCTCCCTCGCCGGCGCTCGTCGGGGACGGCCGCCCTCCGCCACCGCCGCGCGCCGGTCCTCCGTCGCCGCGCGCCGGAGACGGCGGTCCTCCGCCGCCGCCTGCCGGAGACGGACAACCGCCGACTTCACTCCGTCTCGCTGGCGGCGATCCGCTCGAAGGATCTGTGGAGCGGGTTAGTCGTTCAGCGTGCACCAATGTCCCACAGCTGAGTTTGTATGAGACACGTCCCCTCCTTTCCATCACCATTCTCGGAGACGAGAAGGCCTGCCGACCTTTCCTGGGGCGGGGCACCAGCCTAAACCTCACCCATTCTCCCACTTCATAGTCCCTCGGCCGGGCACAATACCTCAGGTCGAAGTACTTTTTCTGCTTTTCCTGCTGCGTCGCCACCCGCGCCCTCGTCGTCGAGTCGTCCACCGGACGACGCTCAGCCGCCGCGTGCAGCTTGGTGCGCAGTTGCCTCCCTCGCAGCAGCTCCGCCGGTGACCTGCCCGTAGTGGAATGGGGTGTGGACCTATATGACAATAGGAACTCACGGATGGCCCGCTTCCAATCCATACCATCGGCCGTCGCAGTCTGCAGGACATTTTTGACGTTCTTATTGAACCGCTCAACTGCTCCCGCCCCCCTTGGATGATAGGGAGTCACTCTGATTTGTCTCACACCCACTTCTTTCAGGTAGCCTGTGAAGACAGCAGAGGTGAATGCAGTACCGTTGTCACAAACTAGCTCTTCTGGGTATCCTTCTCGACTCGCAACAGCCTCCATGAACTCTATCACTGACTCCGAGTTGGGGTGCGCACAAAATGCTACCTCTGGCCACTTTGAGTAGTAATCGACCATGACAATAGCAAAACGTCTCTGCACCCCACCTCCCTCCATCGGTCCAATGAAGTCTATGCCCACTTTACTCCAGGGCGTCTGGGGCAGGGGCACCGGGTTCAGTGGGGGCACATTCACCTTGACAGTCTTGTCAGCGGTAGCGCAAGCAGCACATTGACGCACCAGACACTCAACGTTGGCGTCCATCCCGGGCCACCAAAACAGCTCCCTCAAGCGCTGCTTAGTTCTTACCGTGCCTTGATGCCCCTCATGAGCAAGATCCAGAAGACGCCTTCTCAGCTCCTCCGGAACCACGATCCGGTCGCCCTTGAAGATGAGACCGTCAGCCGTTGACAGCTCCAGCCTGCAGCGGAAGAACGGTCTCAGGTCGTCAGGACAGCTGGCAATCCTTGCCGGCCACCCTTCGTCCAGCTGACTCTTCAGCTTCCTGAGAACAGGGTCGGTCTGAACTGACTCGCGGAGCTCGCCTCTGCTCACTGCCGAGAGACGCTCCACCCGTTCAGCTATCTCCGCCACCAGCTGCTCCTCGTCGTCTGGGGCCGCTTCCGCGCCCACTGCCGGCAGACGCGAGAGACCGTCAGCCACGTTACACTTGCCTGGCACGTGACGGATCTCGAAGTCGTAGACGAGGAGGCGACTGGCCCAGCGACTGATCCTCATTCCTGCCCGTCCGACTCCTCTGGACGTGAGAAGTCGCAGCAGCGCCTGATGGTCCGTCCTGAGGGTAAAGTGAATGCCAAACAGGTACCGATGCCAGTGTTCAATAGCCCATAGAGCAGCCAGTGCCTCCTTCTCAGTCGCACAATACTTCCGCTGTGCTGAGGAGAGGGTAGCGGATGCGAACGCCACGACCCGCTCTCCTTCCGGGTGGATCTGGCTCAGCACCCCACCGAGACCAACATCAGACGCGTCCGTGGTCACCACTGTCGGTAAGGTGGGGTCAAACATGGCAAGCGCAGAACTGGACGTGATCAGAGCGATCACCCTCCTGAAGACCAGCTCCAGTTCCTCAGACCACTCGAACTCGTGACTTGCACTCGAACGAAGTTCCGCGCGCAGAGGCTCCACCAGCGACGAGTAGCCCTGCACGAACCTGGCATAGAAGCCAAAAAGGCCCAGAGCTGACTGGAGGTCAGCCTTGGTCCGCGGTGACGTCAACTCCGTCATCCCTCTCGTCCTCTCAACACTGACCGAGATGCCAGCTGCGCTCACTGTCAACCCGAGGAAGTCAAGTGTGGGGACACCAAACAAGCACTTCTTCTCGTTCAGGGTGATACGATGAGCGTTCAGTCGCGCGAGGACCTGCTGCAGCCGGACATCATGCTCTGGTGCATCCCTGCCAAACACAATGATGTCATCCATGTACACCATCACCCCTGGCAGACCCGTCAGGACGGCTTCCATGACCTTCTGGAATGCCGCTGGAATGGACGACAGTCCAAAACAGCACCGTTTGTAGCGCCACAGACCCTCGTGCGTCATGAAAGCGGTCAAGTCACGGGACTCTTTGTGAAGCATCAACTGATTGAATGCTGACTTCATGTCTAGTGAAGAAAATACTCTGGCTCCTCTGAGCTTATCTAACATCTCTTGCATGTCAGGCAAGGGGTGCTTACTTGAGATGATGCTCTTGTTCACCTCCTTCAAGTCCAAGCAGAGACGGATACCACCAGTCCGTCGCCGGGTGACCACCACAGGTGACACCCATGGAGAGGAGTCCACCCTCTCTATGACGTCCTGCTTCTCCAGCTTCTCCAGGTGCTCCTTCACTTCACCCCTGACCGACAGCGGCAGGGGTCGCAGCTTCTGACGGACCGGAGTGGCCCCCTCCTTCACCTTGACTCTGTGGACAAAGCCGTGTATGGCGGGCAGAACCTCTGCATCCTCCCCCTCTACCGCACAGACGACATTGCCATCTTTGACTGTAACACTAAGCAGCTGCTGTAGGTCACGGCCAAGCAGGGGTACACTGTGGGACTCCACCACGAACAAGGTACCCTCAGTCGAACATCCCCTGTCAGAGGACACTGTGGCCGTCATCATACCACGAACAGGCAGAAGGTGTCCTCCATATCCCTGAAGCCTGATGGAAGACATCTGTAGAGGGACGTGCGCAAACTGCTCCTGATACAAGCTGCTGGGTATCAGACTCACTCCCGATCCTGTATCCACCAACATCTGGACCTGAATTCCATCAATGCCAACAGACATCATGGGACGAGGCACTTGAGAGGGCACATGGTGCACAGTCGACACTTCTACCACACAGGCATGCGAAGACTCCTGACGCTTGCACATGACTGCATAATGCCCTTTCTCATGACACTTGTTACACTTCCTGACCCTGGCTGGACACTCCTTACTCTTGGCTTTATGTCCTTTACGGCCACATGCAAAACAGGTCATCTCACCTTGCTGTCGTTTCTTGCCTTCTGAGTCTCGCCGGGTGGAGAAGCCGCCTCTCCTCTCAGTCGCTGCCACCTCCTTGAGGACCTCTGCCCCCAGCTCCGGAGACCTGCCAGCTAGAGTTTGTTGACGGTCAGCAGCCTGATCAGCAGCGAGAGCGATGACTTCAAGACGCTGCAGGGTTAGGTTTTCTTCCTGACACAGTCTTTCCTTAAGCCTTTGAGAGGAACATCCTTCCAAAAACTGATCTCTTATCATTTCATCTTCTAAGTTACCAAATGCACACTTCTGACTACCTTCCCTCAGATTGGCTAGGTAGGTACGAACAGAAGAAGCCTGCTGTCTGCACTTCCTGAATTTTATCCTCTCTGAGATGATATCAGTCTTACTGACAAACAGACGACATAAGACAGCTACTGTATCCTCAACCAAAGTGGTGTCAGAGGGCTCTGTTTTCACAATACCTCCTGGGCACTCAGCCCTAAACAGTCTCCGCCCTTCCTGCCCAAGGCAGTGCAGGAGCAAGGCCTGCTGCCTCTCCTGACTCCATGCTGACCAACCTATGGCCATGGCATAAACTTCGAAGTCCGGAAACCAGTTATTCCACGGCACCACCGGCGGGCCTGGAAGAGGTAAGAATGCCGCGGGCGGACGAATTCCCTCCATACCTCACGTCTGGTCCGACTACCTCGTCGCCAATTGTAGTGTCGTCTTCCGAATCTCCCGAATCAGCAGTCCGCTCGTCAAGTCCTCACCAAAGTCCTCACAGTGCCAGCCCGATCCAACAAGTGTATTTTACAAAACTGAAGCTCCGACAACATCTCGGCCAAGGTCAACTGAATTCATGGTCGTTAAATCACTGCCGTTTAGTTCACTGCCAAGTTACTACACCTACTAACTACGAATTCCCTGCCATCTACCGTTCAGACACGACTGCCATCTGTCGGTCGATCCTCACTCAGAACCGGTTCTGTATGCTGTGTGCGTCGGGTCTCAGATGGGCGGACATCTCGAAACCGAGATTGTTCAGTATGGCCTTTTACCAGGTTTTTTAATCCGAGAAAAAACCGAGATTGTTCAGTATGTCCCTTTACCAAATTAACTATACGAATTATTGACTAAGCAGCAGGGATGCAGAGCCTTGAACATTTGAGTCCGCTCCAGCTCCGGCTCCGGCTCCGAGTAAAATGGCAATACGGCTCCGGCTCCGGCTCCCACTCAGGGCAAAATATGACGGCTCCGGCGGATCCGGCTCCTCTCCGGCTATGCGTACCGGTGCATTACGGAAACATTTAAGTTGGGGCATATTGGAGATTGGCAGGATAACACGAAGTGTACTAACGTTCCTGGCGGTTTGATATCTACAAGAACCTAAAATTAAAATTTTAATTAAAAAATTAACTTGACTGTGTAAATATATTATATTATTATGTATCTCATTTACGTAATTACGTTGACAAACTTATTAAATAATCATTTAATTATTTTCTGTTAGGGGAAAGTGGGGTAAGACGGGCACCTTAACTTTGGAGCCATTTTTCGGCCGGTTAGAAACATCATAGAAACGGGAAACTGAGTGAAAACCTTTTTTAGACATTTTACTTCCATTTGCCAGAAGATGAGACTTAGACCTGATTCAACAAATAAACTGCAGCTATTTTTGCAAAACCTTGCATTAACCCGTCTTACCCCACCCCATGGGGTAAGACGGTCACATGGGTAGGGCAAGACGGCCAGGTTTTTTGATTTCACCGACCAGCACAGCTCGCAAGAAATGCCCGAGATTAGCCGCATTGATACAGTCATGAGTCATTCGTTGGTCTCAAGTGCTTCAGAAATGGCAGTATACGAGATTCGTGCAGAAGGCGTATGCTGAATGCTCGTATATAACTAGGCCCTAGTTCAGAAGCCATGTAGAACCGTTTTTCACATTCATTATTCGAGAATAAACTGTGCCGAAGGAATATTGCAAACATGTCTGTGAGTATCGGAATCGAACATATTCTTATTAGAAACGCTTCTTTTTTCCTACAGCAACAAAAAATATTTTCACCATTACAGGCCCATTGGATTCATAGTTGCCCGTCTTAACACAAACTCAATGTCAGAAGTTCAGCAGGATTTTTCTCTGTGGATAATTTGATGCAGACAAAGCAAATCCGCGGTAAATGAACACTTGTGGCACATGAGTCTACCACGAGTGATTGCTAGTTTTTATCTCAATAGTGCTGCACACAAAAGCTTGCACAATACATTATGGATGTTTTCAATGAAATGGGTGTTTTAAAGAAATCCAAATAAAAGATCATCGACTGAACACAAATTCACCAGACTTCAATGGTGGTGTGTAGTGGGAAAGGCAATTCTGGCCCTGATTTTTTTCGTTCGTAGCGCTGTTGGTTTGGTCTGCAGAAGGGGTGCCCGTCTTACCTACCCTGACCGTCTTACCCCACTTTCCCCTATTCTTAAATCATCGTAATATTTGGCGCATATTTCTTGCAGCCCTTAGGGCAAGCATGAATAACGTATGTACGCCACGCGTCTGGGCGTGTTGGCAGGAAGCACCGCGCACCAACCCCTACGGACCGCGACTGACCGGTCTCGGGTCAGGTAGCGCCTCAGGCAACGGCCAGCCGAGGCGGAGCTTAGCTCCAACGTCACACTATGGCTCCGCCCCTTGTGGAGTAGCCTCTGCTCACCGAGAGAGTTTCAGGAGCAAAACTTATCATTACGAGTGAACGGGAAGTGCCCTAAATATTGATCGGACATTGAAAAACCTTAGTAATAAAAATTAGGCCGGGGTCTGAAACGTCCATTGCCGAAGTTTCGTTCTTGAGAGGCAACGTATTCAAAAGTTATTGCGAAAAAGTCGTGTCCCACGCGGTTCGACGTCCACAGTAAACGCTTACTAAAAGCTGTTGATTTTTCTTTCTGTCTTTCTTTTTTGGAAAGACGATACAATTTTCATATATTTTTTGCACTGCAGGAGGGGTTCAGGCGTTTGTTTGAATCCAGTGAAGGAAGGGGCTCACTGGAGCTGTCAGTGAGTGCCAAGATAGCATAGTTACACAAACGCTCAGAATGATACACCGAAATAGGAATTTCGCGCACGCCGAAATGCGAAACCTCTGTCCAACAAGCCTGATGGCTGATTCTATTCAATAACTTATGGAGACAGGATGATGCATCAGGCGGTCGTTTGGGGTTTACCGTCTCCTGGTGTTGTTGAGAACAAATCGGTGTGATACAACCCCTCACTGATACTGTGATATAACTCCACTCCTCCCACCATGCGCGTTTCTGTTAATTAATTTTGTCAAAAAAAAAAGACCGCAGATCAATCGCCCCAGTACTGTTGCTGAGAAATAAGCCATCGATCATTATATGTGGAGACGGGCTGGGCCCGCTCATACTGATATTTTTTTGCGCTAAATTGAAAAAAACTCGTTTTGCGCTTGCTCGAAATCATCGCCTACTCAATTATTTTTGTCATGTTTTTTTTTTTAGCTAGCGAGTAGATGAATATTAAATCGATTATACCAGTAAAACGCCTTTTGGGCGAAGAACGAGCGAGCGAGATAGTGAGCCCTGCACGTGCGGAAGGGCGAGAGGGTACTTCCAACGGGCTTGCGCAAAGCACCCTTCTAACCGGTCGCTAGCGGTGTACCAAATTTAAACGCAATCGGCCCAACCGTTCCTGAGATCTGGAAGCGGCAATCTGCACGTGCGCACGTGCAAACGGGGTCCAAACTGACTTTTGCACGGCACCCTACTAACTGGTCCCCAGCAGTGTACCAAATTTGAGCGCAATCGGCCCAGCCGTTCTCGAGATCTGGAAGCGCCCCCTGCACGTGCGCACGTGCAGTAGCACCCTAACCGCAACACATGGGAATGCATTGCCTGGTGGGTGCCTACCTGTATGCCAAGTTTCAGCGAAATCGCCCCAGTAATTACCGAGTTATTAAAATGGGAACAAATTTGACACCTCTTATTGTTGTATTTTGCACGTGCACTGGGGGTGACCCACATGCATCGAGAGTATCCTATTTTTGGTAGAAGGGATGCTGCTACCCTACAAAAATTACCGCAAGTCAATCGCCCAAGCGGCTGCTGAGATATGAGCCTCTCAAAATCACTACTTTTGCAAAACAGCTTGAACACCCTTGACTTTTCACGTGGCACGTGCCACGACAGTCACTGAGGTGTATCAAAAGTAGTCGATTACGGGGTAGAAGGGATGGGGCTACCCAACAAAAAAGACCGCAGGCCAATCGGTCCAGCGGTTGCTGAGATATAAGCCTCTCAAAAGCGTTACAGGCCGGGCCGGGCCGGGCCGGGCCGAATACTGATATTTTTCCGTTATATTGAAAAGACTCGCTTCGCTCGCTGCGCTCGCTCGCTCGTAATGATGATTTATATATGAATAATTGTTGATTGATGTGCACTGCGTACATCACCCCATAGTCGACCTACCCTTCAACCCCAACTAATGTACCTAACATAAGTAATCTTTAGTAACACAAGTGACCCAAAGTAGCTCATAACTCGCGGTGAACGGTGGGAGTTCCTCAGATATATCGTAAGTATCTCAAGTGGCACCTCGCGCTGCCTTTTTGGCACCCCTTATCACACATCTTCGACGCTTGTGAACATTTTACACCCGAACCGTTCAAGGTCAAGTCACCAGGCCCCGTCAGCTGGTTCAATGAAAAAAGTATCAATGCTTGCGTTAGCTACACCGAGTACCGACTGAACGATTGCTTTTAGAACTCCTTGCGCGATCGGTAATGCTAAATTAGAATATTTGCAACTATCAGCGTTTGATTAAGGTGACATCTTTGGTCAAGGATCATCTTTCGTTAAGAAAGGCCAACATCAGTCAAGACCTTAACCGTAGGCCAATTTTTAAGCTGACAGTTTAAGGGTCAAATAATATGTACATAGTTTATTCGATGCTTGTCAGTGAAACAAAAATGGGGTGCCGGCTAAATGATTTAAATGCACGTGTTCTAAACATTTTCCATGAAAACTTCACTTCTAGCTTTTCTTGCCCTATTGATTATAAAGTGTTGACCTTCGGTCAAATATCTCGACACCATAGAAAGTGCCCAAAAAAGAGTTACCCATCGGATGCTATTTTGCGTAATATTTTGGCTTGATTAGTTCACGTGCTATGAACTGATTTGTCGAAGAATCTTAAAACCTGAAAATTTTGACCTCTTGTGACGTGACCTTTGACCCGACCTTTGACGAGATCCATGTATATCTTTCGAACCTCACCTCTCTTACGGTGGCCCGGCAACGTGGTCCGGGATCAGATTTACAGAGTGACGTGAAAACGCTGTCTCCCCCTGTTTCCATGCGTTACGATTGGACCACCGCCCTGGCACACGTTGTGTGCATGTATTCACTCCCTGTACTCGTATTTCTTGTAATCGTATCGTAGATTCAGATTCCATCCAACATAACGTTTTTGATGATGCTTTGCTTTTATTGACTTCCACTCATTGCACAATAAATACACTCAAGCATACATGAAAGGCTTCTTCGTTTGAGAACTTGAAGAAAAGTGCGTTGATGACTCCTCTCTAGTTGTAGGCGGGAGTGGGCTTGTAGGTAGGGGCGGGCTTGTAGGTGGGGGCGGGTTTGTAGGCGGGGGCGGGCTGGTAAGCCGGGGCGGGCTGGTAAGCCGGGGCGGGCTGGTAAGCCGGGGCGGGCTTGTAGGCGGGGGCGGGCTTGTAGCTGGGCTTGTACTCGTCGTAGCGGGCCTCACCCTCGTAGGTGACGTCAGCAATCAGGCCAGAGTAGGCGTCATCCACACGGTAGGTGACCGTCTGGGTACGGCCGTCGGGCAGCACAACCGAGTAAGATCCCTGGGTGGCGTAGCCGTCACGCGCCTCCTGGGCGTTGAAGACGGGCTCGTAGTCTCCGTATCCGTGGACGTCGTAGCTGAAGTCGTACTTGGGCGGCTGGTCGTAGCTCTCCTGCTTGTAGGGAGCGGGCTTGTAGGCCGGCTGGGGGTGGTAGGCGGGCCTGGGCGCGTAGGTGGGCTTGTAGGTCGGGGCGTAGGTGGGCGCCGGAGTGGTGTAGGGCGCGCTGTCGGCGGCGGCAACGGCCAGCAGGGCGGCAACAACGAAGAACTGAAACAAGGACATCACCGTCAATATAAGCTCTACGTCTTCTTGGCATTAAAACGCTTTTAACATGCTCATTACTGAACACTGTTTTCGAAGCTCTTTGACCTGAAAGAACACCACAGCAACTCAAATTTACTCTCATCATGAAATGACAAAGTTGGGCTGAAGAGTCCACTCACCTTCATGTTGTTGGTAGTGAGGCGGTGTGTGATCGTCTGATGGTGGGTGCGGTGTGGAGCCGTGTTTTATACACGGTCCAGCTGCGGTGACCGCCAGTGATGGTGACCCTGCCGGGGGCGGCGGCGCCAGGCGGGGAGCGGCCGGCTCCAGCCACGAGACGCTGTGAGTTGTAGATTGAACGATCAATTTGGACGTCATTGGTGGTACCACAGTCGAAAGTTGAACTTCCTTCTCTGTTTATCTTTTGCTCTGTTTGCTGCAGCTCGGATAGTCGCACACTCGTAGTCATACAAGAAAATTGTTTTTTTTTTTTGACATGCTGACGCGCAGAAACTGCCCTTGCCTAATGCCTTTTGTACTCTGATCTGTTTTGTACTTTGTGGTAGATATCATAGTGCCAACACTGGCGTCTCAAAAAAGGCAGTCGTGGACGCAGCGGGTTTTGGTGGGGGAGGGGTGCATAGCTCCTGAAAGCTTCATCAAGTTCCAAAAAATCCTTTGATTTCGATTTGCCTTGCACTATTTTGCAGTTGAAAACGAAATGTTACTGACGTTGCTGAACGATTGCTTTTAGAACTCCCCTAGCTGAGAACTCTTATGGTGATGCGATCGGTAATGCTAAATTAAAATATTTGCAACTTTCAGTGTTTGATATCTTTGGTCAAGGAGATCATCTTTGGTCAAGAAAGGCCACCATTTCAAGAGCTTGACCGTAGGTCAATTTTTAAGCTGACGTTTTAAGGGGGAAATAATAGTTAACTCGATGCTTACCTATCAGCGAAACAAAAATGGGGTGCCGGCTAAATCATTTCAATGCAAGTGTTCTAAACACTTTCCATAAAAACGTCACTTTTAACTTTACTTGCCCTATTGATTATAAAGTTAAAACCTCGGTCAGCTACGCGCCGCGCCGCTTGGAGTAGCTTGCTGTACATCAATTTTGGACAATGTGTGAAATTTCTAACCCCAGGTCATGCCAGGTCAGGTCACCAGGTCATGTCAACTGACCAAGCCCAAAAAAGTTTGCAATCATGTCCAGCCTGCACTGTTTGTCAGAGAGAATTTAAACTTGGTGGATTGCATGATGTTATGGGCACCTATAATTTGTATATCTCGGATTTTTTTATATCCGTGACCTAAGGTCAGGCCAGTGGCGTGACCTTTCCATTATAAGTCAATGGAGAAAAATAGAAATGCCTCTAGGTCCGTGTGTACGCATATGAACAGTCCAAATATTTCAGAATGACAATGATTTTGACCACCCGTGACGACCAAGGTGTCATTTTTTGCTGATAGCATCTAGAAAGGTCATCCGAGGTCATTTGAGGCACTAACAGATTTTTGCCAATAACTCTGAATTGGAAAGAGATAGAACGCTGCGGATGGCTTCATTGTGTTTGTCTTGCCGAGACGCATCGAATGATATGCAACATGGCCTATTTGGGTCACCACGTGACCTTGACCTAAGGTCACAAAGTTCGACCTTGACCTATCCAGGTAAAAAACATATTTTTTTCGAAGCGACTGAAGGAGAGAAGCACGATAGTGCCATTGCCAATTCTTTATCTTCGCTGGTTCAAACGTTATTCGTGAAATAAGTTTTATAAAAAACAGCAATTTTCATTATGTTTGACCTATGGAGGCTTAACCGTCAATTAACCTGAGGTCAATTTTGATGATGACCTTATCAAAAGAAGAGTTCAAAGGCTATCGATTGTTTTTCCATGTGTTTTTCTAGCTATCACATAGTTCCTGAGATAACGGCATGTTTTCTGAAAAATATAATGATATCTGGCAAATTTTGACCTTTGATGACCTCTGGTGACCCCAATATTGCACTAAGATGAAAAATGACCAGAATACTTTCAAACGTATGCATTAAGACCTATTGACTGTCTTTTATTGCGTCTTTCTAGCCCTCTTAGTTTTTGAGTTAGAGGTGGGTGGTAACATATGCCCCCCCCCCGCCACTATGGGGAAGTTGACTGAGACTGCCACTGGGGCGCGGGATGTCTTTCGAACCTCTCTTATGGTGACCCGGTCACGTGGTCCGGGATCCGATTGACAGAGTGACGTGAAAACGATGTCTTCCCCCTGTTTCCGTATGTTACGATTGGACCACCGCCCTGGCGCACGTTGTATGCATGTATTCACTCCCTCTACTCGTATTTCTTGTAATCGTATCGTAGATTCAGATTCCATCCAACATAACGTTTTTGATGATGCTTTGCTTTTATTGACTTCCACTCATTGCACAATAAATACACTCAAGCATACATGAAAGGCACTGCACTTCTTCGCTTGAGAACTCGGAAGAAAAGTGCGTTGCTGACTCCTCTCTAGTTGTAGGCGGGGGTGGGCTTGTAGGTAGGGGCGGGCTTGTAGGTGGGGGCGGGCTTGTAAGCGGGGGCGGGCTTGTAAGCCGGGGCGGGCTTGTAGGCGGGGGCGGGCTTGTAGCTGGGCTTGTACTCGTCGTAGCGGGCCTCACCCTCGTAGGTGACGTCAGCAATCAGGCCAGAGTAGGCGTCATCCACACGGTAGGTGACCGTCTGGGTACGGCCGTCGGGCAGCACAACCGAGTAAGATCCCTGGGTGGCGTAGCCGTCACGCGCCTCCTGGGCGTTGAAGACGGGCTCGTAATCTCCGTATCCGTGGACGTCGTAGCTGAAGTCGTACTTGGGCGGCTGGTCGTAGCTCTCCTGCTTGTAGGGAGCGGGCTTGTAGGCCGGCTGGGGGTGGTAGGCGGGCCTGGGCGCGTAGGTGGGCTTGTAGGTCGGGGCGTAGGTGGGCGCCGGAGTGGTGTAGGGCGCGTTGTCGGCGGCGGCAACGGCCAGCAGGGCGGCAACCACGAAGAACTGAAACGAGAACATAATCATCAATACAAGTTCGATTTTTCTTTTGAATGAAAACGTTTTTGGTATGCTCATTGCTAAATACGAGTTTTTAAAGCTCTGGATCTGAGAGAACGCTACCACAGCGCCTTACATTCACTCACATTCAAATGGTTTTCCCGTCCCCTCACCTTCATGTTGTTGGTAGTGAGGCGGGGTGTGATCGTCTGATGGTGGGTGCGGTGTGGAGCCGTGTTTTATACACGGTCCAGCTGCGGTGACCGCCAGTGATGGTGACCCTGCCGGGGGCGGCGCCATGCGGCAGGCGGGGAGCGGCCGGCTCCAGCCACGCGACGCTGAGGGCGGTAGGGTGAACGTCTATGCAGAGAGATTCTTCGTTTTATTTTACATCCTAGCCATATATCTGGTTAGCAGTTTTGACCAATCTGACTGCAATAAGTCAGAAAAGTGTTTAAATGAATTTTGAGGTATTTGTGATTCCATGAAATATGCGGTTGTAGCTATTTTGTCTTTTTATCCATCTTAGTGGCTGATTTTCCCAATGGGAGGCTGGAAAAGGTGACGCTTATCCAGTTTTACCATCATTGGCCGCATATACATTTACAATGTGGGGAGGGGGGGGGGGGTAATACACACTATAAATTGTTCATTGGACATTGCGACAGCTGTAATGTGTTTGACATGCTCAATTTGATCAGTCGTAAATGAAAAATGACATGTTAGAGAAGTGTGTGAGGCGAGTTTTACTGGGCATCCATCTGAACGTCATTGATGGAGGCGTTGCAGGGCCCGGCATGAGCTTTGTCCTTTCAAAAGATGTGCTATGTGAGTTGCTCTCTAAGAGGTAGCGTTCCTTTTTAGCGTCCAGTATATTTCCCACGAACAGGGATCGACAGACGAACACAATTTGACATGCTGGCAGCCAGCTTGTGCAGCACAGACGGCTTGATTTTCGACCATGCCCGTTTGAGCTGTAACGGCAGGGCGCCGAGGATGGCCGCTGGCGTCTTTTTGTCCATGCCCTGCTGTACGATAGCCCAAAATCTCTCGATCAGAATTTGGTCTGGATTGTAGCCGGCTAACACCTCCTTCCTTCAGAAGTCCGACAGGTTCGATTCGCACCACCACTGGGCCTTGGCAGAGCGATGACCTGGCGCGTCGTCCTACATGAAAAAGCATGTCGACCTGCCATCGACCATGCGTCGACGTAAAACTGAGCCGCTGGAGGCTCTTGTAGGTAATGAGCTTCAGAGAGCTCATCCAATAGCGTCCCACGGTCCTATTTCAGTAGGCGGAACTATGGTCAAGCGTACCCATTTTCGGGAACGCATTTTCGTTCCCATGTTTGGGAACGATAAACCCAAATATGGGAACGCCATGTAGGCATTATTTAAAACAAGAAAAAGAACCGTTAAATGACGTCCAAAAAATATAAAACGATCGTGAACCGCCTGATATTTGTCTCAATATTGTTGGGAAAGAGTTTGATATTGTAAGGCCCATCGTAGTTTCAAATCGTTCCCCTATTTCTAAAGCAGTCCATCATCCGGGCCGCGAGCCCAAATTTGGGAACGCTCTCGTACACTGGCGCTGCAAGCGTTCCTTATTATGGGAACGGCGTACCCAAAATTGGGAACGATTTCACCGACGCCTTTCAGGGGCTCTTTTCATTAACAAGCATCACGTCCAACGCCGCAAATTATTGTTAACGCAACAATCATCAGATGACCTTTCCGGCAAGACCGTCGCATGTTTCGCCCGGTCTTCTGCGCTTTTATTCCCGTCGATCTCGCAGAGGGCACGCCCCCCTCTGCAGGATTACATAATTCACAACGCTCAGCGATGTTCAACAAGGTCTTCCATACCTATATCCACCGTCCGCGCTGAGTGTGGAGACATGTCAAGCACCTGTCTGTTTATCACCGATAGTTGACGAGTACAAGGAAGTATCCAAAAATGGGAACGCTGAATATGTTACACCCTCAAAACACCTAGTCCCAATGAAAATCTAGTTTTTTCCTTTCTTGATGAGTGTAAGTGGCAAAAGGCCTGGTAGGATGGGCACGAGGAATTATCGAAATCAGCATAAAAATTATAAATAAGCCACACAGAGCGAGCTATATAAGAGAAATTCCCCCAAAACGATCACGCTTAGAAACACGGAAGACAAAAACCACGCTCATGACGCTCCTT